AGAAGGTTCTTGGGAGTCGCCTTTCTGAGGAGGCCGCTCTTCATTTTTTGACTCATTCAGAGAGGTCTCTCCACATAACTCTTCCCCACAACTCATTGCCACCAATTTTCCTTTCATGTTCCTTCCAAGTCCCTGACCATCCAGGCAAATCATTGGCTACAGCCAGCCTATGAATCAGTGTACAGTCTTTCATCTGGCCATTTCTCCTTCCAAGAAAAATGAACAACCAGATGAATGGTTCGAAGTTCCGCTCTTTGGGAGGCTTTCCCTTTACCACTTCCTTCAGAGAAGTCTCAGAAAGGGGATGTATTGCCTCGGCTGACCACTTTTGAGTGGTGCCTGCATGTCATGCAGAACCATCTGTAAACCAAGCGTTGAGTGTTCTCTTCCTCAGTCAACTGATTATAAGGAACTCCCCATGAGGCCATAGGCATAGACACGAAGAAGGAAGGTAATGTGACAGATATCATGGGCATTTGGGACACTTCATGCAGTTTACCTGTGCTGTAAGTCCTGCTTGAGCCCGATCTTTTATATACCATTTCCATTTAATGATGGAGTGTTGCTATGCACATCCAATTTTGTGACTCTGTGGGTCAGACAACACCCAGTTTTTTGGATTTTTTTTCCTTTAAGTTTTGACTGTGGATTGAGTGAAAGTTTACAGGACAGATAATCATTTTTACATTCAATAAATCATACAACTTGTTTCATCACAATGATTACAATCCCCTCTATGTACCATCAGTTAACAGTATTTCTCTCTATTCACTTTAGCTCTTTTTTAAAAACAAAACACTCAGGCATATATAAAAATTTACACCACCAAAGAGCACATTCTACAAATCTGCCTCATGGCCAACATCTCTTAGTCCCTCTCTTCCCATGAATCTAGAGTCCTCAGCCGCCCTCCCTGTCCATGTCCCCATGTCTGCCTCCATCTCTGATGTCGCTGCTTCTCTGGATGAGGTTCCACATTTCACTAGTGCTCTTCTCCTTTGATGGTCCTAGGGTCATTGGTTTCTGGACAGTAAGATTAACAGCTCCCCCATTTTTGTTACAGAATTTCTACCTTTATAATTGTGACAGTTGCAATTAGTCATGATAACTGTTGCTCACTATTGAATCATAAGAATCTTACCTCATCTCTTTACACCAAACCCATCTAGACAAGATGAAAACTACTCAGTAGGGACTCTTTCTTTCCCCCTACACTCTTAAACTAAACTTCCTCTTGAAACCTTGTAAGCCAGTCACTTCATGCTTTTATTGCCCCCTCATTATAAGTAGCCAATGTCTAAGTTTCTTGTCCATATCTACCCTGTATACAGAGGGTATAGCATTGATAATTGATGTGAATACTCCTTCCCTCTCTGTTGGTAATTTAGAGTAACTACTTCCATGAGTATAGGTCAGGTTCATCAAATTGTACCAATTTACCCTTATTTCCTTTATGAAATTTTTTTTTTTTTTTTAATCTTCCTTTAGTCGAATTCTGATTATGAAACCATCAAATGAGTACTATCTGCAAGTTTGGGTGTTCTTGTGCATCTCTGCTCACTTCATAGCAGCTGGATGCTTCACTCTCAGCTCTACCCCTCTGTGGCTATGTCCTTGTCCACAGTCTCAGGTGTCTCCAGGTCTCACCACACTTTGGACCAACCAGCCCTCCCTCTTCTCTCTCTCATCTCCAGGTCAATGGGAGTCAATGGGCCATCGTTGAACACTGTCCATTTCTTCATTGCTGCCTTTCCTCCTTCTTCTACTCACCAGTAGACCAATGTGGTCACCAGCAAGCTTACATGCCTGTTCATGTGTTTCGTTTGAGTTTCAGTCTTAGAGGGGCTCCTTTATAAGTGGTTCATCTCACACAAGCAATATCAGCAAAGATAAAAAAAAAAGCAGAGGACAATAAATGCTGGTAAGGATGTGGAGAGACTGGGATGCTCCTGCATTGCTGGTGGGATTGCAAAATTGTCCAATCTCTCTGGAAAGCAATATGGAGCTTTCTCAGAAGGTTAGAAATAGAAATGCCTTATGATCTAGCAATTCCTCTACTTGGTTTTTTTTTTTTTTTT